GCTACTATGATCAAGAAGTTACCAAGTGGATGAAGTGTCATCCGGCAGAACAGTTTCGCAATACCAAGTTGGAGGACTATTTGCTACAGCGTATGGAAAAGCAGCTACACACCAAAACAGCCGTTAGTGGATTTTTAAAGACTGGAATTTGGCCCCTTAATCCCGACATATTCCCTGATTATTTATTTAATCTTTCCAAAATAACAGATATTCAAGAAGAAGTTGCAATTCAACCCCTAACAGAGTCAAAAGAAGAGAATGATAATGTTTTGCGACATCAAGATTTTCCAGATCAAGGAAACAAACCGGTTTCTACACCTAGACCAAACTCACTTGAAAGTTGTTCTTCAATTAATCCTGGTATTCGTCCACTTGACATTTCATCTCTTCCATCGTGTTCAGGTGTCCAGTCATGCTCCAAAAAAAGAAAATCAGAAGGAACAAAACTTCTAACGGCTACCCCAAATATGAAAGAACAAAAAGCCAAAGCACTCGAGAAGCGAGCTACAGAAAAACGTCAAGCTGCAAAGCGAGCAATTAAGAATCTGACTTTAATGACACAAGATCGCGAGGAGGAAACAAAGACCATTGTGTCAGATGATGACGAAGACGAAAATAATGCTCCATGTTTATATTGTAACAGTTTGTACTCCCATTCAAGGTCCAAAGAATTCTGGATTAGGTACCAAAAATGCTCATCATGGGCACACTGTGATTGTGCTGGTATCTCAAAATCGTGCAAAAAATTTATTTGTGAACTTTGCTAATTTAGTTTATATGACATTTTATCCATGTGAGTGTGTCGTTTTAGCCGAATATACTTGGATAAAATGACATAGCAATGTTTATTTTGTTTCCTTTTTTTAATTAAAAAATATTGTGTTGTTAGAGTTTTATGTTCCATGATCTGTTCTACTTCCAAACAATGAACAACATTTATGTTTTTTTAAATTTTTATTAAAAAAAATAAAAAAGTTATTGGACGACAAAAAAGTAGTATGTCATTTTAGGCCAGGTTCCCCTATTCAACATGTCTCTCGAATATTTGATAAGACAGCTGCATATAGGAAGAAGTAATCTTCTAAGAAATAAATCAATACAGTTTGCCGATGACATTAGTATTCTGTTTCACAAAAAAAAAAACAAGCGGCAGAAATATATTTAAAATTAAAAACAGAGGCAAGAGAGACCGGACCAGAAATACATATTTAAAAGACAAAAAGCTAACACAGGCAAGAGCTAGTGAAAGCAGACGCACAGATGAATTAGAGGACGATATTTAAACTGTAGAACGTTTTACATATCTGGAAGTTGCATTAAACAAGAATGGAACAAAAGAACAAAGGGAATCATGGCTTACTTTTCCCTTGCTCATGTGTTCCGCTCCAAAAACACACACTAAAGAGAAAATTAAGGTCTACAAAATTATTATCAAATTAATAGTATGTTATGGATGCATGAGAGAAGACAGAAACCGAAACCTAAAAGTCTTCGAAAGAAAAATCCAAAGGAATATATTTGGACTTATTAACGAAAACGGACTATGGAGATCTATGTACATGAACTTTACCAACTGTTCATCGGTCACCGATCTCAGAATTCGTTACACTTTAGATACTTCGATGGGCTGATCATGTAGTGAAAATAGAGACCGAAAGGTTGCCAAAACGAGCCCTAGATTGTAAAAGGCAAGGCCCAAGATCAAAAGGAAGGGAATGGAAAATGCGAACCTGGAGAATATCTGCGAGGTTGAAGGACAACCAATGCTTGATTTGGGCTGTATCCCCATAGAGAGAAAGAGAGAGAGAGAGTATTACAAAAAAGAGGTTAAATCTTTGTAAATGGGTATATTTAAAAGACCCTTAAAAGGGCTACATCACATCACACGAACGTTTTCGGAATAATAATTACCTTTAAAACCCTTTAAAATACATAAGGTTAACAAAGATTGTACATATTGTTGTTATTAATATTTGATGTTTAATATTTAATTAAATTTTACTTTAGGTAACATACACCCATGCCTTAAGTGAGTTCCAGCGTCCGGAGAGAAAACCTCTTCAAACGAACTTCAGCTGGTAACTGACAAGATACCTATGAACGGTGTCGAAAACAAAATGTCAATGTATCATGAAACAATATTAGTTATACATAGTATTACTACAGTCAAAAGATTCAAAAACTTTGATGATGTTAAAAATGATAATAGCAATCCAGGTGTTGGGATTTAAAATTTTTTTTAATTATTTAATGTTGGATATAAAAGATGTAAAATTACCGATGTCATGTTTAAGAGAATGACGTATGCATTAGGCAGCCTATGTTACTCTTTGTCGTATGGAGTGTGGTCTAAAAAGTGTAATTTGTGACAGATTAGCTTAGATATATGAAATTGCCCTTTTATGTTGCTCACATCTAGGGCAAGGTAAAATTGAATAGTATATATTTGTAGCTAATATAAGACCTCGTATTTAAATGAAATTGTTTAAGACTGCTAGTATGGTAAAAAGGTTAATATACGTGAGTCTAATAAATTGAATAAGGGTTAGAAATCTTCCGGCTGAAGAAATTAAAGTTATAACCTATGGAATTAAATTTAAAATTGAAAAGGCTGAGCTTCTCAGAGACTTGATATTAATAAAAGTAAAGGAAATGACTGACGGGGGGAGGGGGTTAAAGAAAAATAAATGAGTTAATCAACAAATTAGAGATAATAGAGGTCCTTCATGCTTAAAACATCTAGCACCCTGAAGAAAATCTATTTTGGTTGTATTAAATTCAGTTTATAAAAAAACCTGAAATTTGATGTGTGAGTGTGCTGTAACAAGTTGTTGATTAAGAGAGGGTAGCAAAGGTTGATTAAGGATTTTGGTAAGGGGGGAAATAGTTAATTCTGATAAATTGTTGGATTATGTTTAAATGGTTACTAAGTTTAAAGCTAATGAGTAGATGGTTGATATATGAAATGACAGAGGAATAAGGAATAAGGAATAATACGTAACTCTTTGAACTAATACTCTCTCTATTTCCAATATTTAGAATGGGGCTACAGCTCAAATCAAGCATTTGTTGTTCTCCAACCTCCCAGATCTTCTCCAGGTTTTCCTTTTCTATGGCTTTCCTCTTGGTCTTGGGCCCTACATTTTATCCAGAGCGGTAACCTGTTGGGGATTTTGGCCCAGCCAGGTGTGTAAAGTTGTTTTGAGTTTAATAAACTTCGATAATCAACACCTCTATATTTTTCGCAGTATGTTCAGTGGCCTTTTTGAATTAGTAACAATTTAAGGCCATAATGAACCTTTTAAAGAAATTTCGTCAAAAATTAAAACATTATGAATGGATTTGGACGAAATTATTTGATAAAATATAACTTTCAAAATTTGGTTGCAAAAATATTGTTTTTTGCTTATAAACAATTTAAATAACTTTTTTGCAATATAAAAAAAGTTATTTTCCTTTGTAAAATCGGTGATATCGAAAAATGAAATATAAATCGAAAAATGAAAATCGAAAAATATAATCGAAACTGTTAATAAATATTAGGTATTTAAATTTGAATTCTCTATTATTTAGAAATATTTTAAATAGGCCATTCATAATATACATAATACAGTAATAATTTTTTCCTTTTAATTTAACGTTGAAAATACAGAAAAGGTAATAACGAATAACAGAAAAGAAAAATTAAATACCATTAAAGTAATGAAGTAATATTATAATAATATTGAATAGTGTAGTATACAATAGTAGTTTTTAAATTTTTGTAATATGTGAACTTATTTTTGATCACAGTAAGTTTATTTGAATTTTGTTTCAAATAAGACAAATTAAAATAGATTAGGCAAAATGCTCGGTTTTGTTCAAAAAAATATATCCATGAGATTTTTTTACATAATCTCTTTAATGAGATAAATCAAAATAAGGTTCAAGAGTTCGCCGGAAGAAAAGTTGTTCAAATTCCTTAAATAATTTTTTTTAAATAAATTGGAAAAATTAATTTTTTCACTCAGACAATTTTTTTATGAACAAAAATAGTTTATTGTAATTTTTTATGTAAACTTGATCATTTTTGAGTTATAAACAATTTAAAACTAAAAAAATGTAAAATTGCGATCTTAAGGGTCAAAAACACAAGTAAAACATATTATTTTTGAATTTACCAAGGACCTTAATTCAAGCTAAAACCTTGTTTTATCGTTTTCCGAAACGTATTTTGGGCTTGTTTCATTTTAAAACATCTTGATCGTTAATGAAGCGCTTACGACAGGACGGGTGCTTAGGCTGCGGCGTACATAAGAGAGAAACAAGATCTATGGAACAAATTTTGCTGGTTTTGAATTCTCATTATCATCAGTAGCTGATAGAGGAAGGTTTGAACTTGAATTTAAACACTTGATGATTTCAAAAATAATATTTTTTACTTGTGTTTTTGAGGCTTCAAATTGCAATTTTTCGGTTTTTTTAGTTTTAAATTATTCATAATCCGAAAACTATCAATTTTAGAGAAAGTTCCAACAGACATGTTTTTTTTATATTGATCCAAAAAACCTAAAAAAAATTTCAGGGCCGAAAAATTGATTGTTACACTTTGTTTAAAAAGATTGTTTAAAAACAACTTTTCGCCTGGGCTACCTCTTGAACCTTATTTGGGGACATCACATGAAAGTGATTATGCAAAAAAATCTCATGGGAACATTTTTCCGAACGAATCAGAGCTTTTCGCCTTGTCTAGAGAATTAAAACAACAACAAAAAAAATATTTTTTTACTTTAATGATAATTTAATTAGAAAATCCTACAAAATTCTAAGTCTAGTTATTCTTAATGATTATAACAACGATTGTATATAATTATTAATGTCGCTACTTCGGAATTATGTTATAAATTACATTAGCTACCAATCTAAAATTCATTAACTATTGCAAATTTATTTTAAACAGTACATTTCCAGATCGTTGTAAATCTTTGGCTTAGTTATTAATACTAATCACAATATGATAATCATATCGTCGTTAGTTTGGACTGAAACAAAAATTTGATTGATTATTATTGTTTATAATAAATCGAGTAGGATTTATACGTTTTCTGCTGAACCTGACTAAATAATATGTAAGGTATTAATCAAATGCGATCTAATTAATAAATTCAGTCAAAAGCCAGTAAAACAAGAAATCATCGTCTATATCTCATTATTTTATTTGGTATTGAGATAGTGAGAGAGAGAGCGAGCGAGAGAGAGAGAGAGAGGAGAGAGAGAGAGAGAGAGAGAGAGAGAGAGAGAGAGAGAGAGAGAGAGAGAGAGCGATACATTCAAATTTAGTATTATGTAAAACGACAAAGTGAACAAAATGTTTTGGAGCAAATAAAAAGCTTTTCTGATGACAACCTTTAATACAGGCATCTTACAAGTGCTTTTAATAAGTTTGGTGATAGAAATATGTAATAAACATTAATTACAAAATGATTAAACGTCATTTTTTTACTATAGTGTATTTTTATGTATGAGAGAGTAATAAAACAATAAATTATGTATGCAAATCCCTAAACTGTTGATACGGGTGACTCAATGAAAAACAGATATTTGTCATCAAATTTACAGAAGTATATAGGAAAACAATTTTAAATTGAGTATGACCAGCAGGTATAAAGGTTGGAGCAGAATAGAATACAATAGTTGTGAGGGTTACTAATCCCTAAATAAGGTTGCCAGTGTCGGAGTGATGGAGGTTAACAGGTACTAATGAATTTGCAAAAAATGTAAGATGTTTATTTTATTGGTTATATATAACCAATAAAAGTTTAATAAGTACCTACCTATTTGCAAAATAAAGTTTAATTCTTTAGATAAAATAAAACGTTTTATTTTATCTGAAATGAGTGCATTCCACGAAGTAAGGGTTTCAACAATCAAACATTTAATTCTTTAATTCCAGGAATCTACGACAGTAATTGACTAGATAATTACCTTCTAAACTTATTCCACAGAAAATGTGATAGTGGGTTTTTCCATTTTGTAGGAAGGTCCAAGTGGCGTATTCAAAATTCTTAACAGTTCACTAAAAGTAGGTACTTCAGTTGCAAGGTGCAGTTTATTGTGTATACTAGTGTTATGGAAAATTTGGAAGTGCCGTGTAAACGCCGAAAAATTGGTCCTTTAACAGTTAATGAAAAAACATTAATATTTAATTGTTTTAAATCATTTACAGACAAACGTTTATGTGAAAGTGTTGATGAGACCGTTGAGTTAGTTAGCAATACACTTGGTGTTGGGAAATCTACGATTTACAGAGTTATTAAAGAGAAATGTGGTAGTTTTCAAATGCCACTTAAGGCTCCAGGGAAACCAAAATTTCAAATAGAATATCATTTTAAAGAAGGACTTCGACGGAAAGTGCATGAATTCTTCTTTAGACAAGAATTTCCAACATTGGATAAAGTTCTTGTCTCAGTTCGAGATGATAAGGATTACCCAGAAATGAGTCGAAGTACGTTATGGAAACATTTAAAAGAAATAGGCTTCCGCTGGAAAAAGAATCCCAGAAAGTCTATTTTATTTGAAAGAAGCGATATTGTCATATGGAGAAGACATTTTCTAAGAACCATAAAGGAAATGAGAAACCAAAAAAGAAAAATATTTTATCTTGATGAAACATGGATCAACGAGGGTCATACACCAAATAAATTTTGGCAGGATGAAACTGTTACAAGTCAAAGGCACGCTTTTGTAAATAACTTATCTACTGGTTTAAACCCACCATCAGGAAAGGGACGCAGGCTGATAATAGTACACATTGGCAGTTCAGACGGTTTTGTTGAAGGTGGTTTATTAACTTTTTAATCAACTCGTACCGGTAACTACCATGAAGACATGAACGCTGATGTCTTTCAAGAATGGTTCGAACAAATGATAAATCTTCTTCCTAAGAACTGTGTAATAGTAATGGATAATGCAAGTTATCACTCCAGACTTATAGAAGGACTGCCCACAATCAAGTGGTTAAAAAAAGACTTGCAGAATTGGCTGAGTTCAAAAAATATTACGTACCATCCCGGATCTATAAGAAAGGAACTTTATTCGTTGTGTGCCCTTCATAAAGAAAAATTTAAAAAATACGAAATTGATGAAATTGCCAAAAATCGTGGAATGACAGTACTTAGATCTCCACCATATCATTGTGAATTAAACCCGATTGAACTGGTATGGGCACAGATAAAGAGTGAAGTTTCAAGAAAAAATACCACTTTTAAAATTCATGATGTTAAACAGTTGTTTTTGGAGGCCGTAAATAATGTAAAACCTGAAAACTGGGAAAAGGCAGTAAATCACACTATTAAAGAAGAGGAAAAAATGTGGAAGCTGGACAATATTACTGATAAAATGATCGAGCCAGTTATTATAAATCTTGGTTCTGAAAGTTCATCTTCTGAATCTGATTTGGATTTGTAACAAGTAGCTGTAAGTTTTATATTAATATTTTTATTCATCTATTTAACATACCTTAAACGGTTTTAAAAACTCTTTTTCTCTTTTGTAATTTTTAAAAATAAAAAAAAAATGTGAATTTTTTTAAAACCCTTTTTAATGTAGGCCAGTCAGTTCTAATATAGTGTGTGATAAAAGAGGTCACTTTTGTTTACATACACATAACACTTTATAACACTGAAATAATTCATTTATTTTTTACAATTATTCAAAGTAATTTTTCAATTAATCTTGAGCACGCCCATGGAGTGGTCGAAGGTACCAGTTAAAATTATGCTAATTACTCTCTCGTTCATAAAAATAAACTATAGGTACTGATATAGGGACAATAGGGTCAATATCTTTAACAAAGTTCAAAAGGGTCAAAGTTTTACTTAACATATATTGGAAAATTAAAATTATTTATCTAGTGTAACTGTTTGTGGTGAGACAACAATAAATGTTTAATTTATTTCTCTAAACCATGTAGTCTATTTATTAAAAAAAAGATTCTAACCCTTTTTCATGTATTTTTAGGACTGAAGAACCTTTCCTTTCAGCCAGCAGAAATTTTCCTCGAAGCGGCGTCCACTTTAGATAGCTAGAGGTCCTTCTTGTTGTTTTGTTTGTCCATTTGTCCAGGAGATTCATGTAAGTACCCTTTTTTGTTTCATTTTTGTATTTGCCCCAATCTAATCCCATCGTTTCATTTACTTACACTATCCAGTTCTCCAAATCAACCCTGAGGGCCGTTCGCATAAGTTTCGTTTATTTTGCTTGCAATATCTCCACCCCATGCAACTTCTGTTCCCAATTTTCAACCCCTCATAGTAATACCCTATGTGGTAAGCAACATATATTCGGTACACCACTGAAAAAAACTTTTATCTGCAATTTTATTACACGGGCAGATCCAGAGAAGGAGCGAACAATGAACTGAGATTTAAAAAAGATATAAATATAAATATTTTAATATTTTTAGTTCAAATGTTTTTAGTTTCAAATACATAAATATCTTGCTTGCCACGAGAAAAATGTTTTTAGTTTTGAGAGTAGTAGAGGCTGTGCTGAACGAGGTAAAGTGTGAAGTAACCTAAGCTGTGCGTGTATAACACAATCGCGCTCTGATGGAGAAAGCAACAGACTGAGCATCTGCGTCTGCCGTCGTGCCTCTCCCTTATATCTCTCTATCTGTGATGATGGCCTAATTCTTCTGGACGAAGATGCTGAACCTAGCAATGAAGGAAAGTTCCGGGAATTGTTAAGGTTTAAAATCGTATCAATAGATGAGATTTTTAAACAACACTTATCGACAGCATCTTCCCGAGCAACAAACATTAGTAGCACCAGTAAAAATCAATTAATACCATGTTATATAAAGAGAAAAATGTGGTAAAGAAATAATTGAACAAATAATGAATCAGATTCAAATTGCAAATTACTACTTTGTCATATTTGACGAAAAGATCAACGAGTCCCACGTGTAACAGTTTTCTCTAAATTTGAGATAAATACACAATAACAACATTCGTGAAGACTTTGTCAAGTTCATTGACGCTTATGAGAACATAAAAATAATTGGTAAAAATCAACAAAGAGGGAAAGAACAACGCCCGATAGGAAAAACCTTCAGAAAAATAGAATTACACTTTTTGAAAGAACTTCAATCGGTAGGAATCGGTTCTGACAGTTGTAGCATAATGAGCTCTGAAGAATCCATTGCTTCAGAGCTCTTCAGAGTTCATTGCTATTATGCTTCACCAATTCACAGCTAATAATGAGTCCCTTGAAAATAGTCGACAAAATTACATATCTTGGATTCAGCCTAAATAAGGAATGCTACCATTCACAGGAAATAAGATGTCGTATATAAAAGGCGAGAGCTGTCTTCAATCTCCTCAGATTTTATGTAATATGCACCTGAACATTGATATAAGAACACGAGTCTTGAGATGCTATGTATGTTATACCCTTTTATATGGAGTTGAAGCCTGGACCTGGAAATTATCGTCTCGTGAAAATAAGAAAGATGATTTTCTGAGGGCATGTGATGCGCAATGAGACGTATCAACTAATTCAACTAATTTTATAAGGCAAGATAGAAGGCAAAAGATCTCAAGGGCGCAGAAGGACATCGTGGTTGAAAAACATCAGACAGTGGGCAGGAATGACTATCATACATCTATTTAAAACAGCTGTCAAGAAAGTTGTATGGAATAACGTGATTGCCAACATCCACAGAGGATAGGTACCAATAGAAGAAGAAGAATTGCTGTTTTTCCATTTTTCTAAAATCCGCGGACACACCCGCTTTCACACGAGGTTGAAACAAAATTACGAGTCTGATTTCGCTTAAATTTTGACATTAGCCGTCTACGAGAATGTATTAGACGAAAGTAGATTTCTCATGAGATAGTGGCGCCATCGGGCGGTGAGGCTACGTACTTATCGGACCGCCGTCGTATAACTAAAGGGAAAATAATAGTAAGAATATACATAAAGACACTGCAATAACTTCCAATGTTATGCAAATGTAGGCTAAGACTTATTTTATATATTGAACAACTGTTACGAAAAAACATATTTTCTATGGTAAGTAAGTTCAGCAGAAAACCAGTATATGTATATATATATATATATAGGTATATATATATATATATATATATATATATATATATATATATATATATATATAAGTTTGCTTTCAGCAATATAGTTGTTTAACTTTTTAAAATATATTATCTGTTTTATTGAGCATGACAGAATAATTATTAGTCCTGACCGAAATCGGTCGTATTTTATCATTTACTTCGATATTCCATTTGTAAAACTACAGCAGTTAACCAACAGCTATATTGCTTGAATTTACTATGAAAAATAATGTCCTATTTACTTACCTTACATCTTCCAGGATACATTGTGTCGATCACGTATCCCTTAAAGCAAGAATCCTGTACCATGTGGCACCAAGTATGGTAGGTACTATTGTTAGTACCACATATTGGTCCTCTCATAACGTGTCTTGGTCGGCAGCTGGTCGTGCAGCTAACACATCTGGGCATTCCGGTGTTGAAATCTTTTAGACATGACTGGCCGTCCCGACATTTCACTTTCTTGCATGTAGCTTTTGCTAAAAATATCATATTTAAGTACTAATGAAGACAACTCATATAATGTACGGTGTAAATTTTATTGAATTATAGATTCGGAACATGAAATTTCTACATAGTTTACAAAACATACTTTAAACAGAATTATTACACAATTTCGTTGTTTTTTGTTTATTTATTATATATCTTTTTAATATATATTTTTATTATTGATTACATTCTTTATTTATTATATATTTTTTGATATTTTAACCTGAAATAAATGGATTAAATAGACCAATATACAATGTGGTAAACTTAGTGTTAGGCATTACTCATTACACCAACAACGTTGTTTTGGTGTGTATTGCTGGCAACGCTCTTGAGAGTAATCTATACACCGTAATACCGTAAATAATCATACAGTACACGAAACGCTTACCAAATTGTTAAGGTCTGTGTAAGTTAACCACTTTATGTTCTTCTATTATACTGGAAGCATGGAGCAAAAAGATAAAAGAGGGAATGTAAAGGTAGTGGTGGTAAATATTGTTAGACAGGAAGTGCCATTTTGAGAGGCCACATTAAACAAGGAAAGAGAGTCTCTTGCCTTGTTTAAGAAATCAAATTTAGCTGGGTTATGTTATTGCTGACGTTATTGTTTATCCCAACTATCACATGAAAGATTATTTGTATTTTTTATTGAAGTTTTTTAACAATTGTTTCAAATTTTAGACTATTATTATCGTTATTATCAATTAAAACTTTATTGTGTTCTAGTGTTAAAAAAGTATTTTGTGTATTATGTATTAATATTATGTAATATAAAATAAATAAATAGATAAATTAGAACCCCTAGACCACTGTATGATTATTGTGAAGTGTACTTAAATTTAAATTTGGCGCATTCGCATTTCCGGATATGTCCGCCATTAGAGGCCACTTTTTTGGTCTCCTTTTCATAACGATAAAGGTCGATTCACATCGACACAGGACTATTAATTATCTGACAGCTGGGAAACTGTTCGTCTACTGATGAATGTCAATGCCGGCGGTATATTTCTATTAAAGAATATTTTGTATGACGGATGTTCGGTTCGACGCCGGGACTGTGACGAGACGTGACTGATGTGTTTGAATCGATCTTTAGATTCCCTCTTTTGTCTTTTTGCTCGATGACTGGAAGCCACGGTTAGAATGTAGCGATGGTCTTACGGCGCGAATTATGAATGTTCTTGGGAAAAACACTTTTTTAAAAACTGAACTTCACAAATAAAACTTTTATTTTCGACTTACAAAGATTTTAGTAGCAACAACAATAAATTAAATCAGACTAAATTATAAATCAAACTAACTACAAATCAGACTGAAAATATTGATTTTAACATGCTGTTTTTATAATTTTATAATTGCTGATCTTGCAGTCCAATACGTCGCAATTCAGTCCAGAATGATCGAGCGGTAGTCCCGTGTGGAATCCACGTGGTAGAATTTACTGGATGGTAGCGGTCATTGTACTGTAACTACTCCATCCCCTGAAGAAGTTTTGTGAGGGACGAACAGAACTGTTGGGTTGACCTCTTCTGGAGATTCGTGGCTGGAGTTGGGTTTTTGTTATTTGTTTTATACCTGTAACATATTTAGAGGCAGATTATTGTAATAAAGATATATAAAGGAGTCATCCAAAAACGGTTATGGCTATGGTTCCATAATTTCGGGTTAATTGTCCTTGAATTTATGTGACTCTGGATTGGGGTTTTGAATTCGCATCTGGGCGGAAGATTGATGAGATATAGCTCAGGAGGAATGATTGTAGTAGAATTTGCGGTAGGTATAGAAAATAAATGATAATAAGTAAAGAAATTATCATGTAGGACAGAAAAATGAAGGATAAATATTGCTTCCTAGTCCATTAATTAGCCCTCTTCTTGGTCTGCCATAGGGGTAACTTGTTGAGAATTTTTCTTGAGCTGATTTTAATTGGTATATAAGAGCTTGGTCGAAATTTTGTAAACTGCTAAAATACGGATGGCTAAGTCCATTTTGAATTGCTGTGGTTACTGCATCGTACTGGGTTTCAATTATGTCCAATTCTTCCTTTATTGGTAGTAGTCTAAAAAATGTATAAAATCATGTGTATTAGTATAAATCTTTGCTTGTCCCAGGTTGAGGGGAATTATTTCTGGATTGTCTTTCAGGTCCTTGATCTTCATTTCTTCTGCCATCGTCAAGGTGATCCTGTGGGGAAGGTTCAGAATTAGTTTTTAACTTAGGTTGGTGTTTTATGTTTTTCTTGTGAACTGTAGCTTTTGATGTATTTACAGTCACTTTGTTATTCCTTTTTATATGTTTTGCGGAATATCGCGGAAGTAATTTATTTCTGGTAACTGTTTTTCGTGTATAGATTTTTGTGCTGGGTTTATACGTAATAGGGTCTTGTCTTGTTTTGTTTCTATTTTCTATGACTTTATTTTTATTCTCTTGTATATGTTGGTTTACTTCCTTGTATAATTCCTTTGTTATCTCTCTATGATTTTGAATATAATCGTTCAGTATTACTTTTTGTATGTCAACGTCAAAGGGATCTTTTGCGTCGATATGTCCGTTTAATATGTCAATGGGTCTTAACTTCGTTGCTGAATGTATGGAATTATTGTACCCAATTATAGCGTATAGCATTTGTTCTTTTATCGAGAGTTTTGCTTTGGTCTTCCTTAAGACTCGAAGATGTTCGATTAATGTAGAATGAAATCTCTCAATCATCCCGTTTGATTGCGGATTCTCTGGTGTCGTATAGTGGATTGAGATTTTGTGAGAGTCTACAAATTCTTGTATTACTCCATTTTTAAATTCAGTACCATTATCAGCTACTATCATTGTTGGGAGTCCATGATGTGTTATAAAAATTAATAGGGCGTTGAGTACATTGATTGCATTTCCTCCATTTATTGGGTAGGCTTGTCCATACTTTGAAAATGCGTCTATTATGGTTAAAAATTTCTGTCCATCAGCCTGAAATAAATCGATGTGAACTATTTCCAGTGGTTTAGTGGGAGTTGGGGTAACCATAAATTTCGGTTTGGGAGGAAGTCTGTCGTATTTATTTTCTTGACATATATCGCAAAAGTTTATGATATCTTCTATGTCTTTCTTCATATTAGGCCAGTAATATCGTTTTCTTATTTGACTTTCTGTTTCAGCTATTCCTCTATGGTTCGTTGTTCCTTCATGATAGTTTTTTATAATTTCTTTTTGCTGTTCTTCTAGGTTAACATCTTCCAATAAAAGATTACATTTTACTAAGTCGTATGCGTTGTTTTTAAAAGTTTTCCTAATAATTTCGCAAATCTCTGCAAAAATTTCTTCTTTTGTTTCAAATAAAATTGCATATTCCTTTTTTGGGTTGAGGTGTTCCTTAAAAATTTTTATGGTATCAGCTTTTAACTGATCTTTCGATAGCTGGATATGATAACGTCTTTTATTCGGAAAGGTTTGTATGATTGCTGGAGGTCGTGGATTGTAGTTGACAATTTTGACGATAATTTGGTTATTATAGAAGTTAAGTGGTTTTTCCGAAATAGGTATACCAAGAACTGGGTTTTCTACTGCTGTATGTATTGTTTCATTTCCGTCTTCGTCCATGTTTTGATCTTCGTTTTCAACAGTGTCGTCTGGGATGTTTTGATCTTCGTTTTTAACAGTATCTTCTATGATGTTTTCTGGAATTAATTCTGTTGCTTTTTCTTCTACAATCTCGTCGATTATTCGATCTGCATCTGGATTTTTAGTCGTTGACCATCCATCGTCTTCCATGTCTACTAAATCATCAAAGACTTCCTTAATTTGTGAATCGATGTCCTTAGTTTCTTTTGTGTGTATTTCGATTCGAGACAGTGCGTCCGCATTTGTATTAGCTTTGCCTTTTTTGTAAATTATTTCGTAGTCGAATTCTTCTAATTTTAATCTCCAACGTACTAGTTTGGAGTTGGGTTCCTTTAGGGAAAATAGATATTGCAAAGGACGGTGATCTGAAAGTATTTTAAATTTTCTTCCAAATAGGTAGGGTCGGAAATATTTAGTTGCCCACACCATTGCTAACATTTCCTTTTCTATTGTGGAGTATTTGGTTTCGGTTTCATTTAGTGTTCTGGAGGCAAAGGCAATTGGTTTATCACTGCCAACTGGTCCTTGGGAAAGTACTGCACCAATAGCGAAATTGCTGGCATCTGTTGTGAGGTTAAATGGTTTGGAAAAATCTGGATATTGCAATAACGGTTCATTCATTAATAATTTCCTGCACGTTTCAAAGCATTCTACGAATTCGGGTGTATGTTCGATTTTTGCATCCTTTTTCAAGCATCTTGTTAGAGGTTTTGTGATTTTTGCGAAGTCTCGAATAAACTTTCTGTAATATCCCAGTAGTCCAAGAAATCCTCTTATTTCTTTTGCTGTTTTCGGTATTGGATATTTTTCTATTGCTTCACTTTTTGCTGGATTCGGTTTTATGCCTTCTTGTGTGACTACGTGTCCCAGAAAATTAACTTGCTTTTTTAAGAATTCGCATTTGTCGACCTGGATTTTTAGTCGGGCTTCTCTTAATCGTTGAAATACTTTTGAGAGATTTACTATGTGTTCCTGTAGTGATGTTGAATAAACTATTACGTCATCCATATAGACGAGGCATATTTCTCCTTGAAGTCCTTTCAATACGTTGTCCATCATACGTTGGAACGTGGACGGAGCGTTCTTAAGTCCAAATGGCATTCTTAAATATTCGTAGTGTCCATTTTCAACATTAAATGCTGTTTTGGGAATGTCTTCTTCAGCCATCTCGATTTGGTGAAATCCGCTCGCTAAGTCGAGGGTCGTAAAATACTGACATCTTCCCAATTTGTCCAAAATATCGCTAATGTGAGGAATTCTGTATCGGTCATCAATTGTCTTCTCGTTGACCTTTCTATAATCTACCACTATCCTCCACTTTATTTTACCGGATGAATCTGGTTTCTTTGCCACGACCCAAATGGGCGAAGACCATGGCGATTGACTTGGTCGAATTATCCCTTGCTCTAACATTGAAGAGATTTGTTTCTTTACTTCTTCTTTGTGTACATACGGATACCGGTACGATTTCGTATATACAGGCTCTTCATCCTTAGTTCTGATGTGATGTTTAACTTCGTTAGTAAAGCTGAGAGGAGTGTCTGGTTGGTGAAATATATCGGAGAATTTTCGGCATAGGTGACGAACTTGTTCCTCTTCTTCTTCATTAAGATGTTCGGTTTTAATTAAGTCGTCGATATCTTGTCTGTAGTCTGGTCCGGAGGTTGTTTCCATGGAATATATATGGAAATCTTGAATGTCTATTTTGTTGCTTTCGAGTGGTTCCATAAGAGAAAGATGAATGGGGTCTGACGTGAAGTTGGCAATTTCGGTCCAGGCGAGGTGGTTCTGGGCGTTAGTAAGGGCTTCTCGTACTACGACGCCTTGCACTTTTTGGGTTGGAATAATGATGGTTCCGTGTTCTTCTTTGACAGGAATTTTGACTTGGCTAATAGAATTTGGTTCCAAATGAATGGAATAAAATTGTGTTTTATTTGTTTCGTAATATTTAATTGGGATTGTAGAATCTTTTGTAACTAGAAGCGACTTGGGAAAGTTTAATTGGGCTTCGAAGAGTTTTAGATTGTCGAGGCCAATAAGACCATCAAAAGTTTTGTGGAACTTAAAGAGATAAAATTTCATTTTGCTGTCAGAATTAAATTCTGAAAATGAAGGAATTTCGGCACAATATTTTTGGGAATAATTTTGGAAAATTGATGTGACGACAAAGGGTTCATGTTTTATGTAACTTGGAAAATATGAAGAAGCTATTTCTGGATTGAGAAATGACTTTGTAGATCCTGTATCGATTAAAAGCCGTAAACAAGGTTTAGAAATTTCAATGTAGGGTAGCTCCTTCTTATCGGGAAATGAATGGAGTTCAATTACGTTCCGATTGCTTCGGGTGGGTCCTCTCGAAAATTTACGTTTTCTTCATATTCGGTTGGTTGGTTTTCGTATGTATCTTGTGGGAAATGGTCATATTCAGGTTCGTAGTAATCATTGTAGTTGGAATTATCTTCTTGCTCATCTCCATGGCATTGTATATTGTAAAGTTCTTCTACGGTGAATTTTGGCTGTGCTCGGTAATTTGGTGTGAAATTTTGACGGCCTCTGGTTGTGGTTTCTGATATTCCACTCATAGGTGTTGGTCTAGGCTGCTTTGACTGTCCTTTTTGGGGTGCCCATACATTTGATTGGTTCTGGGTCCTGAACGTCGAATTTTGTCTAAATTGGTTGAAGTTTTGTTGCTGGTGTGGTTGCTGGAACTGATTCTGCGGATAGAATTGTCTTGTTGGTTGCTGCCATTGCGGAGCTGCAAAATTTGGCTGTTGATACGATGGTTTCTGGATAGGTACAGGCATTTGTTTTCTCTGAGGTCGGCGTTCTTGATAATTATCGCTTCTTCCTGATGTTGAAGGTTGAGTTAATTGATTTTTTTGAAGGTAACGAACGTTATTTTCTTCCTGTACATATTGTATTGCTGTGGCTAAACTTCCTGGTCTCATTGCTCTGATAACAGAGCCCATTGGTTCTCGTAGGCCTGCTAAGAATGTTGTAAGAGCTTGTTGACGGAAAAATTCTAGTTTGCTCCTCTTAATATCGGCATTTATGGTATGTAATTCTAGGTAATTATTAATACAGCTTAAAAGTCCCATGATCTTTTCGTAAAAATGCAAAATAGATTCTGTTGAGCCTTGTCTTAAATTTACTAGGTCCCTTGTAAGCGAATTTTCGTCTCTCTGGTCTCCAAAATTTTGAATTAATGCGTTTTTTATTTCGTCCCAACTTTCACATCCATATACAGATATAACTTCTTTTGCTCTACCTGTTAATTTACTTATAATACCATGAAGCAAAAATTTGTTTTGGATGTTCGCTGCATTAAGTCTATCATAATAATGGTTTAAAAGTATTGTAGAAACTTTGATAAATTCATGTAATTCATTTGGATTTCCGTCAAAATTTGGAAGAATGCATAAATTTTTAACGTCAAATTGTGGAACTGCCATTTTTAAAATATTCAATATAATATATAGTCAATAATCAAATCAGTATAGTAATTTTCAATAGAATATATATAAATATATCAATCTTAATCTACTTATTTTCTATCTATTAAATCTCTGTGTTTATTAATATAGAATTTATTAAGCTATTCAAATTTGTATTTAAATTTTAAAGTCTCTGAATCTGGCTCTAAAGTCAATCTAAGGACTTAGAGGAGATATTTTTAAATTATTTTAATCTTTCTGTTAATATATTCAAATCTTTGTTTAATTTATCTTCTAATCTAGCTCTGATTCAATCTAAGGACTCAGAGGAGTCTGATTTTATAAAAATTCTTTCAAAATTTAATCTTCTTAATTCTAATTAGTAATAAAAATCGCTTACAGGATAAAGACGATGCCGATGTGCATTTCTTTCCTCCTGAAGGCTTCTAACTTCTAATTCCCTCGGGTGAACTCTGCAGACGGTTTCCCTGGGGCTGGTTCTTGGAACAGTGGACAAACACTTAAAAGTGACGAGGATCTATAAAGACTCTTCCACTTCCGTACTGACTCTGCGCCAATTATGAATGTTCTTGGAAAAAACACTTTTTTAAAAACTGAACTTCACAAATAAAACTTTTATTTTCGACTTACAAAGATTTTAGTAGCAACAACAATAAATTAAATCAGACTAAATTATAAATCAAACTAACTACAAATCAGACTGAAAATATTGATTTTAACATGCTGTTTTTATAATTTTATAATTGCTGATCTTGCAGTCCAATACGTCGCAATTCAGTCCAGAATGATCGAGCGGTAGTCCCGTGTGGAATCCACGTGGTAGAATTTACTGGATGGTAGCGGTCATTGTACTGTAACTCGCGTAGCGATGCCGCCTATGTCGGTACAGTGGTAGTTTGGCGATAGACTGTAATATAGTAACCTAACCTAACCGTGGCTTTTACTAGAGGCTCACACTAAAGTAACTTATTATTTAAAATTTAAAACTACAACATACTTACCTCGACAAGGTCCCTTGTACGCAATGGGGATAGCTTTGCCTCTCCTGCAAGCTTTTTCTCTCAAATGACAGGCGCTAGGATATGTAATACCGTCTGATCCGCACACTTGACGACGTTTCGGAACGTTTGGGCATTTTCGTGTGCAGTTCACACAATGCGGTGTTAAATTTTGGTCCAATAAGCAATGTTTATTCGATGGACAGACAATTTTATCACAGGAACCTTTAACAAATCAAAAAAATCTATTATGGAGGGATCTGGTGTAAATCAGAACAGAAACAAAATAATGTGTTCCAAATTTATTCCCAAAAGTGGGGATATTTATTATTATAGATATATTATAGAGTTTTTTTATTGGTCCGACCAATAAAAATTAAACGTGGGATTAGGTAAAAAGATACATTGTCACCGAAATTATGCATAACGGCATTAGTGTATGTTTTTAAGATGGTCAATTGGGACCACAGAGGAGTAATATTACACGGCGAAAAGCTTAACATCTCCGTTTGGCAGATGACATTGTCCTTATCACATAAAATATAATTTAGGAGAAGCTGGGCACAGAAGGTGGACCTCAGAATGAACTTGACCACAACAGTTAATGACAAATATGCTCCCCAATAACCATTTACCTATTCAAAGTTAAGTGGTAGACAAAGTGATAGAACTGGTGGAGAAATATACGTATTTTGTCATGAAATAAAAACCAGTAGGGATAACCAAACATGCGAAATCCAAAGACGAATTGCTTTAGCGTGGGCAACCTTTGGAAAACTGCGGGACACATTTAGGACCAACATACCAATTAGCCTCAAAAGAAAAGTATTTGATCAATGCGTATTACCGGTCATGACCTATGGGGCGAAGACTATGACTCTAACCAAGACTACGGCTTTAAAATTGAGAGTGGCAGAGTGGCAGAGAGCCGAGGCTGGGAGTGACGTTGCGAGACCAAGTAAGAAACGAAGATCTGCGAAGAAGGATAAGTATTACTGATTTTGTGGAACGCATAGACAAGGATCTAGGTACACGACAGTAATATCGACCGAAAACCTTCGGCAAGCGCAGTTTGGGCATTTGGTGTTCACATTTTCTATGCGAATGTTTTGTTACATTTCAAATTTAAACTTCTAACCTTGTTTTTAGCGATTCTGGTTTTGTTTATTTTTAAATTGGTTATTTACTGTTAATACGATTTATTTTTGGACTAGATCTTTAGGAATTTTAGTTTTTTGTTATTTTTTTATAATATTTATTAGAATCAGGAAGGCAATTCGACATTAGGATTAGGATTTTGAACTTAACAAAATGGTACATTGTGCTGAACGCAATGTGTACTTTCAAAAACGTGCAAATTAAGGGCGCATGTAAAAAAAAGCATCCAGGTTAGTACCAAATTTCTTTTCTTGGTAAAAACATAATGCCAAACCAAACATAATTAGACATTTAAGTTTTTACAATGTAATATATTCTTTTAGAAAAAATTTATATATTGGCACTACAGGTTAAAGATGGACATGGAAGTTTTATATGCGAAGAATGTAGGGCTACATTTGTGAACTTGGTACTTTAAAAATGCATAATATACAATAAAAACATACAGGTAGAATACAAATCTTATTTTTTTGCTAGATAATTCTACTTAATTACAAGTCTATTAATACTCTTTTTTTTTCATCCGACTGAAACCGCACACTGTCCCGTGGATTTTGATTTTGCCCCAATCTTCGAAGAAGAGCTTCTCACTATTTTCAGATCGGTAGCAGGATTAACGTGATCTGGACTAGTCGGTATACAACTTTTGTCACTGCATTACTTTCATGACTAACGTAACAATAATTTTGGACACACACATGTATATTATTAAATTCAACCATATTCATATTCTAGTAGTTCAAAAAAAACATTGAAGCAAAAAGAAAAGTTATGTTTGTGTTCCACTGTAGAAGCATACTTTTTATTACACGGCACCAAATGCTAAAATGCGCTTGCGCGAAGCTTTCAGGCAGATTTACTGGGGTGTACCTAGATCCTTGTAATGCATAGCGGAACTGAAATAAAATTGGGCAGGCCATGTAGCGAGAATGCACGACTCACGATGGACGAGCAAAATTATAAATTGCAGGCCAAGAGCAGACAAACGTAGTAGAGGAAGACCACCTACCGCTAGGCTGACGACAACAGGCGTATTACCAAAAATTGGCAACAAAGAGCAAAAAATCTTAAAGAATAGAGGAGTTTAAGGGAAGCCTATGTCCAGAAGTGGACGTGATAAATGAAGGCTGGATGATGATTATAGATTAATTATTGTAGGTGACCAATTTAATATATTTTAAATTTGTTTATTATAAATAGATAAAAAGAAATAAAATAAGACATACAATCAATTTAATTTTACCACCAAAACGACCGGTTTCGCATACTACAATTTGCTGTGCATCTTGTCATCAACCCATTTCATCTGTGGTCTTCCTTTTGGTCGTTTGCTTTCATAAGGTCTCCAATGTTGTATTGTAGTATTCCAACGTTGGTCTTTCTGTCTAGCAGTGTGGCCCGCGAAGCTCCATTTAAGTTTGACAATTTTTGTTGTTATGTCCCTGACTTTTGTTTTGGATCTTACCCAGTTGTTCCTCTTTTTATCTGACAGGACAGTCGTATACCTAACATTGCTCTTTCCATTGTTCTTTCTGTTGTGGCTAGTTTATTCATGTTTGCCTTGCTTAGGGTCCAGTTTTGACATGCATATGTCATGATAGGAAGGATGCATTTGTTGAACACGTTGCTCCTCAAGTATTGGGGTATTTTGCGGTTCTTAAGTATCCAACTAAGTTTTCCAAATCCTGCCTATGCTAGTCTTGATCTTCTAGTAATTTCCGCACTTTGTTTCTCTTTGCCTCAGGATTTGGCCTAAGTCTCAGGATTTGGCCTAGGTAGATATATTCCTGGATTTGTTCTATCTCACTGCCGTTTATAGTTATATATCTGGGGTCATCTGTGTTTGTCATTATTTTGTTTTTTTCATATTCATTTTTAGCCGACGTATTGGGAGCTGGCTGCTAGTTTCCCCCAACATAATTTGTAGTTCCTAGAATGTGCTCGCTATAATCACTATAGCGTCAGCGAATCTGAGGTGGTTTAACTTGTTGCCATTAACGTTAATGTCATAGGTTGACCAATTTGTAGTTTTGAAGACGTCTTCTAGGGCTAGGTTGAAAAGCTTTGGCGATATTACGTCTTCTTGTCTCACTCCTCTCTTAATGGGGATGGGATTTATATTTTCGTCTAGTTGTACTATCATAGTTGCATTTTCATATATATTATCTATTAGTTGCCTATATCTCGAATCTATTCTACAATTATTAATAGCTTGTTCTAAGGCCCACATCAAACGCCTTTTCATAGTCGACGAAGGCAAGAAATACGGGTAGTTGGTATTCATTTGCCTTCTCTATCAATGTTCTCATTGTCAGCAGATGGTCTGATGTACTATATCCTTTGCGGAAGCCAGCCTGTTCAACCGGTTGGTAATTATCCATTTTGTAGGTTAACCGGTTATTAATAATTCTCATAAATAGTTTGTATACTTGACTGAGCAACGATATAGGTCTATAATTTTGTAGATCACATTTGTCCCCTTTTTTGTGTAAGAGTATTACTAGACTCTCGTTCCAGTTTTTAATGATCTGGCTATTATGGAGACATCTATTAAATAGCTCTGTTAGTACAGGGATTGTTAATGTCTTGCTTGTTTTCAAGAGCTCGACAATTATACCGTCGTGTCCTGGAGCTTTATTATTTTTTAGTTCTTTTAAAGCTCTTTCCATTTCGTATCCCTTTATATTTGGTAGTACTTCTGATCCAACGTTTTTTATTTTTCTTTTGAAGTTCTCCTTTGTTGTTTCATTAGGCTGGCCTTGCGAGCTGTACAAGGATGTGTAAAAGTCTTCGACAATATTTGTTATTTTATATTTGTCCTTCTCTACCTCATTGTTGGCGTCTTTAATTTTGATGATTTTTTGAAATCCCAGTGCGGGTCTTAGACATTTTAAGCCTCTGTTGTTTTCAATGACTCGCTCGCTCAGTTGATAAATCAGACAAAGTAAAAACCCACAAATTGTTATAAGATAATCTATTGAATTGAAATAAATTAGTAAATAACCAAAATACTACATGCTGGTACAAGAATTATTAATTAGTGATTTGTAATTTCAGCATTTCAGAAACCGGTCGTTTTGGTGCTAAAATTAAATTAATTGTAAGTAAGTCTTATTTTATTCCTGTTTACCTATTTGAAATGGACTCATACAGGCAACACATTCATGATTATTCATTATAAATTATAACATGCAAAATTATAACCTGTCGATTGGCGAATAATATAAAACTGAGCTTAAAACAGAGCTTGTGATATCAGATTTCGAAAGAGAAGGAAAACCTGTAAATATTGACATGGAAACTTTGAAAAAGCGGTTGGGAACTTCAAGAATGGTAAAGTTTGCGGTCACAGAGGTATCCCTATAGAATTAGTTAATAAGGTAACATCTTGACATTTTTAGATATTATTAAAAATCTTTGAGGTATTCCTAAAAGGACACTCACTGCTAGGGGAATGGAAAATTGAATGAAAAACTGCATCTTTATTATTATATCATCTGCTATTTATGGCAAAAAAGGGATATATAATTTTAATGAACAGTTTAATACTTACTTTGACATATGCCCTTGTAAGCAATAGTCAGAGAATTTGATCTACGACGACACGATTGTTTTCTTAACCTACATATGTTTCTATAGCTCCGGCCATCAGTTCCGCACACAGGCCCTTTTAAGGGACGGAATTTTCCTTCTTTGCATCTGGAGGCACACACACATTTCGGTGTACCTTTGCGCAATACACAAGTCTTATCTACATCACATACGACTTCTTTACACGACTCTAAAACGAAAAAAAAATATATAACAAATACAATATATATAAAAAACAAGTTTCATAATAATTTTCTTTGCATTTTACATTTATTATTTTAACAACCTAAGCATACTAATATGCATACCAATACCAATGTATTGGCCGATGGGAAAAAATTCATCACTTGTTCATACTGAGACCAGTATAAACGTATGGTTACCAACTCTAGGGCTGTGCTCATTCAAGTAATATCCAAATCGTCCAGAGATTCCAGAATAAAATATTAGTGAACAACTTAAGATATAATAGACAATATTTGCCGATACAATTCCGTATTGTCAATATAAAAAAGACAAAATATTTGTGCAAAATATAAAGGTGTTATAGTTATTAGTTAAGTAGCGAGACTATACAGTACAGTCGTGATCTGAAAATTATATATAATTTATATTGGAATCAAACTACCAAGGTAAGAGTTGACAGCCAGTACACCGAAAATATCAAAATACAGAGAGGAGTCCGCCAGGGTTGCGTGCTGTCCCCACTACTTTTCAATGTCTACAGTGAAGCGGTATTTCAAGAAGCGCTCTCAGACTCAATAGAACGTATATCTATCAATGGAGAAGTTTTGAATAACTTACGTTTTGCAGACGATACAGTAATAATTACGGATAACAACAATGATTTACAGAACGTAATGCAACGCCTTAATGAACGCTGTCATAAGTACGGACTGAAGATAAATTTAAAGAAAACTAAATGCATGATCATGACTAAATCTGCACATGCAAATATCCAATTCACTATTGAAGATACTGCAATTGAGAGTGTTAATAACTATAAATACTTAGGAACATGGATAACATCACATGTAGACCAAACCAAAGAAATTAAGACACGCATTGAAATAGCACATACATCATTTATTAAACTTAAAAAGTTTCTTTGTTGTCGGGATATAAGGTTAGAACTACGCCTGAGAATGCTTCGATGTTACGTGTTCTCTACTTTTCTTTATGGTTTGGAAGCTTGGACACTAAAACAAGTTCATCTGAATAAGTTGGCTGCCTTTGAATTTTGGTACAGAAGAATCCTACGAATATCATGAATTCAAATAATGTTAAACAGGGAAGTAACTAGAAGGATAGGAAATGAGGCGGAAATAATATTAACTATTAAAATACGAAAACTTGAGTACTTGGGACATGTGATGAGAGGGCAAAAATACGCATTATTACAACTTATTATCTAGGGCAAAATCCGAGGAAAGCGAAATGTGGGAAGACGAAGAATATCCTGGCATAAGAACTTGAGGGAATGGTTTGAATGCAGTAGTGCAGAACTTTTTAGAGCGGCAGTCAACAGAGTCCGCATAGCCATGATGATTTCCAACCTTCGATAGAAGATGGAACTTAAAGAAGAAGCGAGACTGTATGGCGGCATAATTAAACAGATATAATATATAAAGGTAAAACTGCTTTCGGACCATTATTATATAGAAAATTTATTTGTTTAAATAAAAACAATAGAATAATCTTCAAAAGGCAGTTGGGATATCCACCTTGTATTAATAGATCATGTAAAGTATTGTTATAGGGTCTCAGAATTAAACAACAGTTATTTGAGATATTCAGGATTATACACATGCGAGGAAAATATATAACGTTTACGATAAGAAAATATATATCCTGTCCACTGGATTATATACAAGAATCTTCATTTAAACTCACCTCGACATGAAGAACATCGCACTCCACCACCTAGTATTCTCCAGAAAAACAACGTTCCAGAATCAAGTTCCTCTGCCGACCAGGATGTCGTTACAGAGCGTCCCGAGCAACAATCTTCTTTCGACATTTTCTCGTGAAGAAGTTCCGTGCAACGCCCGTTTCCGTTACGTACCATGGCCGACCAACAAGTACCACCTGCAACAAAAAAATTACATGTTTAGTTATTGATGTTTACTTCTGCAGAAAAATGGAAGTACTGTTATATAGTTTCAATTTTTCTTGAACTTTTATTGATAATAGATCTGTTAAAATCACTATTGTAAGTACTAGTATTTCTAAAAGGCATACATAATGGAGGAGAACGTTTTTTGACCAGTACGTGTTAGTTAAATCGTGGTTATTTAATAAGGCTAGTTTAATATTGTTCTGAAGCTATTTTCACAAAAATTTTAACTCAGGAACCAATCAAGTTGATAGCTAAGTATTAATTGAAGAATTGAATTGAAGAAAAAAATTTAGAACCTCTATAATTAATACACAGGCCGACATGATTTTTGATGTTTTGAGTTTGACATGTGTCCTTGGCTAATACTGGTACGCTGATTCTGAATATAAATTTGGTTTAAGCCCATCACGTCAAAATTTTTCACAAAATTAAAAAAACCTTGTGAGATATTATGTACTAGCTCTAACAAGTACCTTATTAAAACATAAACATATAATCCAATATCCTGATTTACCTTCTATTAAACGACCTGTATCTTATGGACCAGGAATCCCTAATCCTCTACCTTTTCTTCACACTATTCAACAGCAATTATGAGATGAAAGTTTAGACAAAAAAACCGATGAAGACGAATTCAATCCTGAGATAGCCTAACCTCAAAAGTTTATCTAAGCTGAACTAAATGAATTGGTGAGAGACTTGGGCCTATCGAAGGATCCTAAACAAATCTTAGGATCACGACTGAAAGATAAAAATCTATTTGCTCCTGGTACCACATTTTCGTGGTATAGGCATCGTGAAAAAGAGTTCACGGAATATTTTTCTCAAGAGGGCTCACTGGTGTATTGTCATAATATTCCTGAAGGACTCATGAAACTGGAAGCTGACAATAATTACGATTCCACACTATGGCGGTTATTTATTGATTCCTCTAAGAGAAATCTGAAGGGTGTCCTGTTGCAAATTGGTAATACTTGCCTCAGGGTCTGTTGCTCGCTCCGTCCAACTAAAAGAATCATATGAGAATCTTGAGCTGTTGCTTAATAAAATAAAGTATACCGAATATCGTTGGCAACTCTGTGGATATCTCAAAATAATATTTATGCTTTTGGATCAGCAGTCTGTATTCACAAAGTATCCATGTTTTTTGTGCGAGTGCTATTCAGAAAAAGACTTGTACCGGGCCGAAAAAAATGTGCAACATGATACACTAGTTGACCCAAAATTAGTTCTTTTACCTCATATTCACATAAAGTTAGGATTGATGAAGCTGTTTGACAAAACTTTAGATAAACAAGGTGACTGCTTTAAATATCTACGCGACAAATTTCCTGCACTTTCTGAAGCTAAACTTAAAGAAGGAATTTTTGTAGCACTCAAATTCGTACCTTAAAATCGAACAGATTGTTCCAGAATACAATGACCCAGGATAAATCTAAAGCATGGAGGTCTTTCGTACAAGTCATAGACGGTTTCCTTGGAAACAAAAAGTCTCCAACTGGGATATCCAAATTATAAAAAACTGGGATGCGATATGAGCGTCAAACTTCATTTTCTGGATTCCCGTGTTGATTATTCTCCCGAAAATTTTGGAGCTGTCAGCGAGGAGCAGGGAGAGAGGTTCCATCAAGATATAAAAGAGATGAAGAGACGTTTCCAAGAAAGATGGGATATTAAAATGGTGGCTGATTACTGCTGGATCTTAAAGAGAGATTAGATCACAAAAATCCATAAAAACAAGACCACAAAACGCAGTTTTCATGGAAAAAGAGAACAGTTTTATTAAATAAAACCAAATATTGTCTAACGGTGGTTATACTAAATTCTTTTTTTAAAGAACAACTCAATTTTGCAGTGTAATTTTGTATTAAATTAAGTTTCAATAAATTTTTCTCAGTATTTTTGGCAGTTACTATGAAAAATTTCAAACACATTTTTCTTGAAAACCTGATGTACTTGAAAAAAAAAACTAAGTACATATTCGTGACCATCGTATCTCATTTACTACAACACTTATTAAACTTAACAGTTTTTCACGAAAAAAAAAATGTAGGCCTGTGTAATAGTTTGTTTTTATACTGATTTTTTTTTTAAATCATCTAACATATAGACTTCAGTTATCAACACTATTCAGACCAGAATTTATTCTCGAAAGACTATCTTAATTAGTTATTGAAAAATATTCTACCAGTCTCTTATTATTCATTGATAAGTCTAGGTTATAAATATACATAAACGTCACTTATACGGTTTGTTTGCACGACGATGAAAAACAATTTTGTAGAATTAAGTGAAGCATTATTAAAATTACTGTATCTAATACGTAATAGTAATACTTTAAATCCAATAATTAAGTGTGAAATCGATAATTGGTATTAAATGAGTAGATTCATTGTTCAATTTGCAGTTTAAATGAAGAATGATTTGGTGTTTTTGTACGTTAACACATAAACTTAAAGCTGTAAGGCTTTGACGATCGAGATTAATAATAATAAATAAAATGCTATTAAAACAACAATAAAATATAATATAGTACAACTAAGTAAAAACATTTTTTATACTAAACGCACAGAAAAATTTAAGGGGGGGTAAAATTTACAGCCTTAAATCTCCCCAAACTTTTGAGTACGTTCAAATCAAATGAATTTTATGGCATCATTCCTCTTCATCAGTCCTATTCGTCACTTTCTCTTTCATAAACCCCCAAAGCAAAAGTCCATGGGGTTAAGACCTGGACTTCTGGGTGGCCAAGAAATAGGTGCGTCACGACCCCTTCCAATCCACCGACCAAGATACTGCCTTGAAAGGTATTACTGGACTTTATTACTGTAATGCGGTGGAGCGCCATCTTGTAGAAACACCATATTTTGCCTTATTGCAATATTCACTTTTTCCAAATACTCTTGTAAATCGTTTGCCAAGAACTGCAAATAATTATCACCATTTAAATTTTTGGGAAAAAATACTAGGCCTATTAGATTGTTATCCACAGTTCCTGCCCAAACATTAACTTTAAAAGTCCTTTGGTGATGAGTCTTTTTTTGGCATGAGGATTTTCGTCGGCCCAAATGTGCTCGTTATGATGGTTTGTTATTCCATTTGTACTGAAGGTAGACTCGTCGGTAAACAAAATATTTATAATAGAATTAATATTTCGAGTGTATTCCATTAACAACCAATTGCAAAATCCAATCCTTTTAGGATAATCTTCAACCAATAACTCTTGAACCGTTGTTAAGTGATAGGATTTAAGCAGCTGATTCTTCAGACTCCTCCAAACCATTACGTGAGGAACATTTAGTTGAGCAATTGTTACCGTTGCACTTGTTCCAGGGACTTTTTCAATGATTTCTGAAATGTTTTCATCAGTTGCATCCATTATTGGACGGCCACTATTGCCAGCAACTTGCGGTTGGAATGTACTTACTACTTACTACTAACTTGACCTTCACCTTCGATATTCCCGATAGTTTATTGAAATCATAAGTTAATCTGATCCAACTTACCCAAAGTTAAATGCATATCTGCCATTTCCTGAATATTGTAATATCAAAATTTTTTTTATTAATCTTATTCACACAATAAATGATAGCTTCAAATTATTGACTATTATTGATGGAAGTATTTGTAATTATTGTATTCGTAGAAACTAACTGTAATTTGAAATAAAATACAAATCCACCATATATTCCTAAACTTTAAACAAGCGAAACTTCGAAGTCTTGGAGAGTATTAAGAAATATCAAGACATATTGCTAAATGAAGTAAACTTCCCACTCCACACCTCCATAAATTAGAAGATTGGCAACCTTTAATTAGATAATACTTATTACTTTTATTTTACGTATTCGAATAAATTCTTTATATCCTATACTGCCAATACTCCGCCACTTGGATGACCTTTTTATTAACTGTCATTAAGTCAAGGATGATATCAAACAAGTCGCGGGTAAGCAATGGATGAGAATTGTCAAGAGTAGAAATCAATGGAAGAGGCCTATGTCCAGCAGTGGACGAATACAGGCACAAGAAGTTAAGGAGAGTGCATTTTCCAAGTACAAACAAACCAATACAATAATAAATTTTGTATTTTGCCACAGTCACATGCTCATCCTTTGAATACTTCCAATATTTTAAATTTGCCTCAAATGATATGCTAATTCTGATTATAGTAAGGTTAAGGGATCTCCGTACGATGTAATATAATAACTCATAGCTTAGTCTTCTGTACAACCAAGTTTTCCTTCAAAGCTGAAGGTGACATTGATCAGCCGTGGTATTAATTGAAGTCATGGAACTTATGAAACTTTTTCAAGATTTTAATCTCATCGGGTACCTTGTGTGATCAAACATGGAGCATGAGGCTGGAGTGAATCCTACTGGAATTAGTTTTAAAAAACTAGATATTATTTGGCTAGTCTCATTAACGTGATCAATGTGGAGAGAGTGAATAGAGCGGTAACGAAGCTGTAGCTGAGAACTACGATGCAGAGCAGCACAATGAGTAGGACTGAGGTTTTGGCATAGTTGGCTGAGCTCGCCAACTTATTTTAGTTAATCTTCTAATTATGTAACTTCTTTTGGACCTCAATCCAATTTTCTTCTTCTTAAGGTGACTTATTTTTTTACAGAATGTTGGTGACAATTCTGAGATACTCGTTTCAATCTTTTTGCTGCTGTAAAACGTACATGGACACAACAATCGTAACATCCAACTTTCCCTCAACATATTTTGGAGCTTTGTAGTGATCTAATAACATAAGATAATAAGGTGAAGAAATAGTACTCTTCTTTGTCTTCTTTCTCTTTATAAGCAATTCTGCTTGTTTATTAGCCAAGTGATAGCTTTATGGAAGATTGTCTGTCCATCTTTTGCGCAGTTGTCCAATACTTTTTCTACCAATTGTAGATTTATCTCTTGTTATTTTGACCTTACAGAGTTTCTCTCATTCTAATGTGGTAATTCCATCCTTTTTTTGTTTATTATCCATTCGTTTATACACTGTACGTTACATTTTCTTCTAATGTCTCCACTCCTCTTTCGATTTCTCAGCGTATTTTCTATAATTCTTTTTAGTACTTTTATTCCTGCTGTGTTCTGGAACCTTTGTGTTGTGGCTGTTTTGCGTCTTGTTTCTGATATATATATATATTCCATTATTGGTCTTACATTGGCTTTATAAATTCTTGATTTTTTTTAACGATAATATGTCTGTTTCGTAGTATAGTATTATTAAGGCATCCTAAGCCTGAGAATGCTTCGGTGTTACGTGTTCTCTACTCTTGTTTATGGCTTGGAAGCGTGGATAAGTTCATCTGAATAAGTTGGCCGCCTCTGAATTGGTGTTACAGAAGAATCCTACGAATATCATGAATTTAAAGAATGTCAAACGTGGAAGTAACTAAAAGGATATGAAATGAGGCGGAAATAATATTAACTATCAAAAGACGAAAACTTGAGTATATTATTACAAAATACAATATATACAATATTCTGGTTTAAAAACTTAAGGGAATGGTTTGAATGCAGTAGTGCAGAACTTTTTAAAGCGGCAGTCAACAGAGTCCGCATAGCCATGATGATTTCCAACCTTCGATAGAAGATGGAACTTAAAGAAGAAGAAGGCATCCTGTTAGTCTATTTGCATTTTGTACTTGATCTCTCACTTCTTTGTTTAGGTATCCATAGCTAGACAGCGTAATTTCATGGTATTTTATTTCCACTGACTAAACCGAGAAATATACTATAAAGTTTTTGAAGAACTATATCTAATCACATAGATTAAAGAATTCCAATGCAAAAAACTGCCAAGAAGACTAATGTAGCAAGTCAGAAGCTAAATACGGCTTCTAGACTCCCGCAGAGTTTAGTCGTTAAGGGATTAAAAAATATTTGGGAGTTATATACATTAAGGAAAACTTTCTGGAGTATCAATTACTAAATATGGTATTATAACAAACAAAAGTTTGGTATCTATAAAACAATCTGTGTACAATCAAACTCCATTCATTATTATAGTAAGTAATAATTTTGTAATTAGTGCGAATTCAAATAATTTAATTTGTTTAATATTGCAACGCCACTACATGGGTCTGATCATAGATATTCTATTGTCTGAGCGATTAACTATATCGTGGAAGGGCTCGCCGCTCTAGACCACATTTTCTTTGAATGCATACAATATAGGACGCAATTTTTGAACTTTTCAAGAAACTTCTACAGGACGCAATTTTTGAACTTTTCAAGAAACTTCTACAATTAAAAATCAAAAGTACATAAAATATCATGTACTGCTGGCTTTAGATAGAAAAAAGATTTACGATTGCTTATTACGTTTTGTTAAATCAGCAAAAATTCCACCCTAAGTTCACCTTTATTTTATTTCTCGTGTTTTTCCTATTATTCGTGGTTGATCTCTGGGCATATCCCTGTTATTTGATCAATAATAAAAAAGACCTTTTTATATAAGAACATAATACAAGACGTGAAGACGAAGAAAATGATAAACTACCTATTAATAAAAAGGAATGTAACAGTTTGTATCAAATTAAGTTCAAAAGTGTATTGAAATTTTGTCTGAACTTTTTTTCGTGTTAGTTAAATGCAATTTGTACACAAGAGTACAAAAAACCGCAGTGTAAATACCGATGCAACGTTGTTATTTATGTTCGGCTAATATTTACTTGTTCATAAAGACACATTTGAAGAGTCTGTAGACACTAATAAAGTAAACAAAAATAACTTTCAAATAAATGATAATAAATAAGAGCTACGGAATTTCATGATCAAATAAAAAACATGCCAATAAAATTTTAGCATGGCGCGGCAACCGACCTGTAGCTTCTCTTGTAATAGTTTCCAGGGGTGGATTGTACTGAATTATGGATTAAATATTATGTAAACGTTAATACACATCTAGCAGGTACTCCGAGATTATTAAATGCAACGAAGAAATAAATACTTTATAATAAATTTGAATAAAGGCATGTACACATAAATGTTATATATTATTTTTGGATGATTTTTGGTAAGTTTTAAAAACATTACGCTGTTTTGAGTGTGCTTAAAAATGTTAATGTTTGTAAAAACCAGCAATCTGTTTTAAATCGTGCTTAGTTTACAAAAGTAAAAGGATGATTTTTCATGAACTTTTGTGACTTTCATTATCTATTTTAAGTTGTAATGTCAACTGTCAACACATCTGAAAATATAAATTTTATATGAAACAAACTTTAATTCAACAATTTTTTTTCATCTTGTTCTTTATTTATATGTTACGGTTAAACTCGAAAATGGTTAATCTTGTAATTATTTGACTTAATGTAATACCGTACGAAATTCAGATATATTGACATTAACAGGATAATTTCAAGTTTAACTATTCTTCTTGATTAATGTTGAATAATGTGTTAGAAAATAATACAACGTTTCAAATTGTATAAAAAAATACCTGCTATTTATTTAAACATGACAAAATTCTGTGATACTTAGAGTTACATAAAATATTAGCTGCGTTCAAGTGGCACTTTGTTTAACCACATTTGGTTTTGCACGAGCATCTTTTGTATCATTGACCACCACTGAGAGATGAAGTCGCTGCAATCTCTCGAAGAGATTTTTCAACAACTGAAACTTTTTCGGTAGCAATAAAAATAAGATAGTAATCTAACAGTATCAGTAATTTTTCAGGCATATTCCCTTAGAACTGTGCCATTCAAGTCTTCTTATATGTCCCAAAAAACTACTTCTTTGAGATGTGACAACTGCAGCACTATAGCAAATCATAGCAGAACACAGTGGAAATGTTTATCCTGCAATGTCGGACTTTGTCTTAAACACGACAAAAACGTTCCATAAAAAACAATAGGAAGAATACCAAGAAAAAAGTGCTACCTGGTTTTTGTTTCTCATTTAATTTTTTGTTACGCTATGTTCCTGCTGGTATCTTGAGAATACCACATCCTGCAGGATATACTTTAGGATCAGCATTGCTTATTTTGACTGAATTTGTTTTAGGAATATACTAAAATAAATCAATTTCACAAACTGTAAAATCGGGCTTCAAAGGGTTAATATATATCTAATACTATTGTTCCTGTACCAATGTCCATAGTTGTTGAGATACTTAATGTAAATAAAAAAAATCTTTGGAGTTCGTGTATGTTAATGCACGAAAAGATAGCCAATTTTATTGCAGAGATAATGAGAGTTTGAAATCGGATAATAAACTGATACAAATACAAAAAATATTGGAAAGAAATTCATAGTAACAAACAGAAACTACAATTTTTAACTTCTATTGTATAAAACTGAATATCGCTTTTAAATATATGACTAGGTGTTTTTAATTATTTAATGCTAATGTTATTTAATATTAATTATTATGATAATTTTCCGTAGAACAACTCCTTAATCAATTTTCATAATTTTTTATTCTAATTAGTCTCGCTGCGGTTCTGCATATCTAAATATTTTTTATGCCCCATTAATATGTTTTCTCGAAAAAATCTACCAATTGAGACGATAACAA